TACAGTTGAAGTGTGATTTATCAGCCCCCCTGTTTATTTTTTCCCCAATATCTGTTTAATGAAGAGCAGATTTTTTCAACTCATTTCTAAACATAATAGTTTTAATAACTCCTTTCTAATAACTGAATTATTTGATCTTTGCCATGATGACAGTAAATAATATTTGACTAGATATTTTTCAAGACACTTCTATACAGCTTAAAGTGACATTTAAAGGCTTAACTAGGTTAATTAGGTTAACTAGGCAGGTTAGGGTAACTTGGTAAGTTAATACCTATAACAGTAGTTTGTTCTGTAGACTATCGGAAAAAGTAAATTAGCATAAAGGGGCTAATAATTTCGACCTTAAAATGGAGTTTAAAAAAATTAATAACTGTTTTCATTCTAGCCAAAATAAAACAAATAAGACTTTCCCCAGCAGAAAAAATATTATCAGACAAACTGTGAAATTTTCCTTGTTCTGTTAAACAATAATAATTCTGACTTTAACTATATATATATAACATAACATTTCATTAATATATAAAGTTTTTGTAATCCAACAATGCTTATTACTTTTAAAGAGGCAGTGCACAGAATAAAAAGAGAGCAATCAGCTGCTCACTTTCATGTTGTTAGAAGTGTTAGGTTTATTTATGTATTCTTACTTTTACTCTATTTTCAGTGTTGTTTTTTTGTAATTGCAACTTTTTTGATTCATTGGATTTACTAAAAAACAATTCACTGGATTTACAAAATTTTTAATAGGGTAACTGGTTGCAAACAATTTATATGGGCTGAATTTAAACAAACAGATTACATTTAGTAATGTTTAAGTGGGTTGCGGCTGGAAGGGCATTTGCTGCATAAAACATATGCCGGAATAGTTGGCAGTTCATTCTGCTGTGGCAACAATATTATTATTTTTCTGTAAAGAAAAAATAAAATCTATTTCTAATGAAGCAAAACCCTTTTACACTGGAAGTTCCACCTTTAAGACGTCAGCTTATGGAATTATTGCTGCTGTTATGACAGCCACATGATATGTTTCTTTAATCTCCAACCCAGCACACAGTAGTGTCGCAACTGTTTACTGAAAAAACACAGTCAGACATTGTCTTTGCGTGTGTTAACCATTCGCTGGGTGCCACCCAAAACATCCACCTCGCTGCTGTCTGAGCTGTCGGATTAACTAAAGATGTAAAATCTGTGTAATGTACAGGCTCACTCTTGCCTGATTGTCTGAAAGCTCCCGTTTGGGTTTCATTTCACCTTTTTGCTCCTCTTCCTCCTCTTCATCTTTACTGCTGGCAGCATCTGTTCTCTTAGTATCATGCAGATCGGCAGATGGAGGAGCCCTGAGGGAGAAACACACACAAGTTTAGAGGAACATTTTCTTTGTAAAGCTTTTTTTTTTGCAGTAATTATGTCTCTCCACATTAAAATACTGTAGTAATTTACAGTAAATATGATAGCGTTTTTGAACCATACTGTAGAAAAGTACTTCTGTTGTGATTATTCCATAGATTCTATGGTAACACAACTACTAAAATACTAATATTATAGTATATATAATAATATAATATATGAAGAGTTCAGATGCAAAACCCTCTAAATCCATCAGACCTCTGTTTTTGTAAATGAGCATTGTCTATCAGGCTCCTCTGATTAGGTTCAGAAGTTTTATTTTATATGTAATAACAAGGTTTTTAGCTTGTAAATAAAATACTTTTTTTTTTTTTTTAAAGTCACTTTGGACAATTCTTTGGTTTTTGACAAGGTAGAATTTCTTTTGTGTCAAAATCCACTTGTACTTTTTTAGCAAAAACCTCTAAATCCACCTATTGGGACAAGACAGGGTAATTAGCTGAAAATCACTGAAGATGCCATTAGAATTTATTTTACCAAACATAAAACACCTAAAATTAAGAATATATAAATCTGACAAGTGGCGGTTCATTCCGCTGTGACAAACCAGGGGCAAAGTAGAAGGAAAATGAATGAATAAAATCTGTAAAGTGCATTAATCAATAACATTAAGACTGACATTAATTAAATCTGAACAATCGTAATTGGGATTTGGATTTAATGTAAGTAGAGCGATGTAAACACTTTAAACATTGTAAGCTAAGCTTGTTAGATTCAAATAATGTATTGTAAAACATTATAAAACATTAATATCTGTGCATTAACTGTGCACTGTGCAAACAAACGTTATGAATGCATGCTACACTTCCGACTGTAACAGTGTGTTTTCTTTTTCTTATAACGCACAGAGTTTTGAGGTAGGGGACGTTTTCATTTGCCATTCACTGACAGTCAGACAGGCTCATCCAGTTCATCAAACTTCATCTTTTAAAACAATAACATTAAGACTGACATTAATTAAATCTGAACAATCTGTTGTCATTTCTGATATTTGGGATTTGGATTTAATGTAAGTAGAGCGATGTAAACACTTTAAACATTGTAAGCTAAGCTTGTTAGATTCAAATAATGCATTGTAAAACATTATAAAACATTAATATCTGTGCATTGTACATTAATATAGTAAGCTTATCAGACATATAGGTAATAGGAAGTAATATAAATAATGTATAGCTTTATACATTTGATTTATCTTTTAAAAACTAGCTTAAATTAGCTAATAAATCACAAGGTGGGCCTACTGGGCAAAAAGGGGATGCCTCTCAGACACTTTTAGAAGCTGTCATTCATTCATTCTCACCATGCGTAAGGTCATGGTCTCTTGTTTATCCTCATAGCATCCATGTGGGATAAAAGAACAGCATCTTAACTTTGTCTTTCGTGAAACGCATTTGCCGTTTAATGTATTGAAAATCAGACTCATTCAAAATAACATCACTGCGCAAACAAACGTTATGAATGCATGCTACACTTCCGACTGTAACAGTGTGTTTTCTTTTTCTTATAACGCACAGAGTTTTGAGGTAGGGGACGTTTTCGTTTGTCATTCACTGACAGCTCATCCAGTTCATCAAACTTAATCTTTTAAAACCGGAAGCGGAATGAAACAGCCTCCTCATAAAGCCGGCGTATCGGCGTGCTGCTACATTGAACACATATGATTTGATTCGTGCCTTCTGATTGGTTCTCGGGATATAGCGGCTTTTGCTGTCAAAGGCAAGTGGCGTTTACCGGCTTTTGCCAACAAACTGTTATTTCTAAATGCACTGATGCTGCGATTAAGATTATTAGAAGCAAAACTATTTGTTGATGGTGTACTACGTGCCTAAAGTATTCACTCAGTGTCATTATCTAATTTTTGGCGGAAGTGGCGTTTAGCGGCTTTTGCATATAAACTCTTCATATACAAATTACCAAATACTATAGTTTTAATAGGGTATATTTTACTACAATATACACCATAGTTGGGCGACGCAATGGCGCAGTAGGTAGTGCTGTCGCCTCCCAGCAAGAAGGTTGCTGGATCGCTGGTTCGAACCTCGGCTCAGTTGGCATTTCTGTGTGGAGTTTGCATGTTCTCCCTGCCTTCGCGTGGGTTTCCTCCGGGTGCTCCGGTTTCCCAAAGACATGTGGTACAGGTGAATTGGGTATGCTAAATTGTCCGTAGTGTTTGTGTGGATGTTTCCCAGAGATGGGTTGCGGCTGGAAGGGCATCCGCTGCGTAGTCTCTTTATTAATCTCGGGTCGCCACAGCGGAATGAACCGCCAACTTATCCAGCAAGTTTTTTTTTACGCAGAGGATGCCCTTCCAGCTACAACCCATCTCTGGGAAACAAATCTAAGTCAAAGAGTTTGAATTAACTGAACTGAATCAACACTGTACTGGACTGTATCACTCAAATGTATCAAAGCTAAATAAACAGCTTTAATTAAACTAAACTGAATCAACACTGAACTAAATAACTCAAGTGAATCAAAGCTTAATCAAAGAGTTTAATCAAACTGAACTGAATCGATGAATAACCATGATTAACTTAGACCCAGTTACTGAATCATATATTGAAAATGAATGTTGGTTATTGAACTAAACTGAATCAACACTAAACAAAACTGACACTATTATCTTCTGTATTCTGTAGATTAATTATTTCAATAAACTGAATCAAGCTAAATAAACGTTTGCCTATTTGTTTCATGATTAACTAAGACCCAGTTATTGAATCATATATTGAAATTGAATGTAGGTTATTGAACTGAACTGAATCAACACTAAACAGAACTGACATTATTGTCTTCTGTATATCTGCTTATAATACCCAGTAGATGGATTATTGTTATTACAATAAACTGAATCAAAACTGACCCGAATCAAGCTAAATAATGACACCTTTGCCTTTTAATTTCCCAGTTATTGAACTGAATCATTACTGAACTGAGCTCCATATTGACACCAGTCTAAGCTGCTTTACAGCAACATTTACTTTTTATTTGTCTTTGCAATTCAGCTATTTTCCTATGTATTAATGCGAAGCTGCTTTGAAACAATCTATTGTATAAGGCTCCAAATGAAATGCAAATGAGAGAGCAATCAATAAACAAACAGATTTCTTCTGACTAAGCAAAGGTTAAAAGGTCATTCATCTGCATCATTTATATTCACCAAAAGCATCATGCATTCAGCGTGCTTTCAGAAAAGCCTGGTCCCCCCCTGACACTGAGTTTTTGGCACATCACAGGCCCTGCGGTTTACCATGCCAAATTATGCCAGGTTCAAAAAGCAGGTTAGGCATTGTTCTGTTCCAGGAACACAGTCCTACCGAGCCGGTTTATACAAAACAAGCGTTTCACTGTTGTCTGTATCTCAGAATTCTAATTACGTGTGTTTTTTTGGAAACCGCAGGTGCTTTGTCATTGAGAAATACTGCGCGTTCACCTTTTGGTTCCCCCTGTGCAGGGCACGATTAGACATGAATTGTGCTCTGTGTGTTTTTGTTCATATTTTACCTTCGAGATGTACTGTTGGAGCGAAGCCTGGTGTGCTTTTAGGTCACGTATTTCTAACACGCACAAAAAAATGTTCTGTAATTTTTCAGGAGAGCTGACAGCTGAACGTGCGCAAGAGGAAGTACATAACAGACAGTGACAGGTACAGATCAAATTCACGCTTCACAATGAGCTTCCTCTATAGTGCAGTCATGAGGATTGAGGTGTTTAATTGTGCTTCTTTTTACTTACAGGAGCCACTAGACGCACACTTCAGGAAACACACATTTAGGCTACGTAAGTTGTATTATCTCTCGTTTATCGGACTCGATATCATTTTAGTGAACATACTAAGTAATCTTCATAGCAAAATTGTGAAAGAAATTTATTTTATCAGTCAGTGTTGGGGTAACGAATTACAAATAATGTATGTAACAATATTACTTTTCTAAGTAAAGAGTAAAGGGTCCCACTTTGTATTAAGTGGCCTTAACTAATCCGCTTGTTAAGTGTGACGTCACGCAAAGCGGCTTCCGTGTCCAAGCGCTCTATTCAACTGTATGGGGAGACTCATGAAATGGTAATAATAAACATTTACAAAGCGATTTAAGGCTTTCGAAAATCACGATCACAATATATATGTCCATGCCTAATATCTGATGGCCAGAAAGTGATACATTTTTTTATAAATTGTTAAATTTTTGGTATTTGTTATGCAGCAAGCCCAGAGATTGTTGTGTACACTATGATTTTATATAAAATTAACTTTAATGTGTCATAGGAATGAAACGTGATCATAAACGAATGATTTCTCCACTCAAATGAATGGCGGCTTGCACCTGAAAACAGTATTACATACGTCACAAACACGTCACCACTTAACAAGCATTTCTGTACTTACACAGAAATTAATAGTTTGTTACAATGTACTTATTGTGTAAATACGTGTATTTACTGTGTACTTATGCTTGATTAAATACCTGTATGTAATTACATCTGTATTTAACTTTTGTAATTACATTTGTAAATACACTGTTGACCATCCCTTACACCTTAACCCACCCTTAAACACCTTAAACCCATACTACCAAACCTGTCCATAACCCAACCTCTATCCCAACTCAAAAGCACCACGTGTTCTCAAATACATTATAAACACAGTAAGTACATTGTATTTATTTTTGATGTAAGTACATAGTAGTTAAGGACACTTAATATAAAGTAGAAAGTATATAAAGAGATCAAGGCTCCGCCAAGTAATAGAAAGGAACGTAATGCATTACTTATTATAAAACGTTTTTTAGGGAGCAACTCAATATTGTAATGCATTACTTTCTACTTTTCCCAATATCATCAGCATAAACTCCCTTTTCTTGAACATTAAGGTATTATGCATGAATATTCAGAATCAAAGGACTTGAATTGAATCAAACCTAACTTTTGAGGAAGTATCATTTTTGTAAATAGTCAAAATAATATTTATAGCAAAATTGTGAAAAAGAATTTTAATATAGTTAATGTATTATATATAGTACATTATAATACATTAATATACACAATAATACAATAATATAGTTATATTTTAATATAGTTAAATATAGTTAATATAGTTTTTTTTAACTCGAACGTTATGAATCCTTTTTTCAGCATAGATTTTGTGCCAGTGTTCTGCAAAATATTCAGTTAAAGGAGATCAATTATACAAATGTTTTACAGCAAATTTGCAGAGAATCTTGTGGATGATTGTTTAAATTGATCAAATGTAAGCATAAAACCCTTTTCTTGAACATTACGATGTTATGCATGAATTTTCTATTAATGCATAAACTTTTTATTACAATTATAACTTGAGGAAATATCACTTTATTAAATATACAAAATTTTCCCAGTGATGGTTTGCGGCTTGAAGGGAATCCGCTGCGTAAAAACGTGCTGGATAAAATGGTGGTTCATTCCGCTGTGGCGACCCCAGATTAATAAAGGGACTAAGCCGACAAGAAAATGAATGAATAAATATACAAAATAATCTTAATAATTGTAAAAAAAAATCTATTTTATTCTGCAGTTTATTTTTCGTACTCTTTTATTATTAGCCCTTTTTATCAGCATTGGCTTGAACCCTTTTCTTGAATATTAAGATATTAGGCATGAATCTACAGAATAAATTGGAAATTGCTGTTTTAATTATATTAATTATTACTTGAGGAAATATAATTTTAGTACGCACAGAAAATAATGTTTATAGCAAAATCTTAAAAAGCAAATATTCTATTTTATTCTAGAGTTTATTTTGCTTATTAGCACTTAATAACTTATTTACCAATACTTATAAATTTCATTAATGATTATTTTTTTTATAGTATCTTTCTGATCAGTCTACTACAGACATTTGGTTCATAAGAGTCACTTATTTATGAATCAGATTGTGTTGTTGGCACGTTATTAAGGATATTTTAATATAAATTAAAAATGTATGATCACAATCACCAAAAATTAAATCAGTTGTTGGGAGTCAATTAATTATGATTCAATTGCTGATTCTGATTACTTACTAATTACATTAATGATTATTTTCTTATAGACTCTCAAAAGTGAATAATAAACCACACTGAACTGAACTTAAACCCTAAAAACTGAACTGACACTGTTTAAATTTACTATAATCTTCTATCTGAAGCTGCTTTGACACAATCTACATTGTAAAATCGCTATAGAAATAAAGGTGAATTGAATTATATTGAATTAATCAGTACACTACAGAGATTTGGTTCATAAGAGTCATTCATTTATCCTTTAGATTGTGTTGTTGGTGTGTTATTGAGAACATCTTAATACAAATTTTTAATTTATGATCACAAATCACCCACACATTGGCTCACTTGTGATTCAGTTGATGATTCAAATTACTTACTAAGTCTAAAAATGGTTCTTTTCTTTTCTTGTAGTGCACTACAGAGATTTGGTTCATAAGAATCATTCATTAATGAATCAGATTGTGTTGTTGGCGTGTTTATGACAACATCAGAATATACGTTTTAATTTATGATCGCAAATCACCAACAAATTTGGGATTCAGTTGATGATTCAGATCAATTACTAATTACAGTAATGAATCTTTTCTAATAGTCCAGAGATTTGGTTCATAAGAATCATTCATTAATGAATCAAGTTGAATTATTTGTTGGGAGTCAATTGAATATGATTCAGTTGATGATTCAGAATAAATACTACATCCATTAATGATTCTTTTCTTATAGTATCTTTCTCATCAGTCCACTTAAGAGATTATGTTCATTAGAATCATTCATTAATGAATCAGATTGTGTTGTTGGCGTGTTTATGACAACATCAGAATATACGTTTTAATTTATGATCACAAATCACCAACAAATTTGGGATTCAGTTGATGATTCAGATCACTTACTAATTACAGTAATGAATCTTTTCTAATAGTCCAGAGATTTGGTTCATAAGAATCATTCATTAATGAATCAAGTTGAATTATTTGTTGGGAGTCAATTGAATATGATTCAGTTGATGATTCAGAATAAATACTACATCCATTAATGAATCTTTTCTTATAGTATCTTTCTCATCAGTCCACTATAGAGATTTGGTTTATATGAGTCACTCATTTATGAATCAGATTGTGTTGTTGGTGTGTTATTGAGAAAAACTTAATTAAAAATTTTAAAATTATGATCACAAATCAACCACAATCTGGCTAATTTGTGATTTAGTTGATGATTCGAATTACTTACTAAGTCTAAAAATGGTTCTTTTCTTTTCTTGTAGTGCACTACAGAGATTATGTTCATAAGAATCATTCATTAATGAATCAGATTGTGTTGTTGGCGTGTTTATGACAACATCAGAATATACCTTTTAATTTATGATCACAAATCACCCACAAATTTGGGATTCAGTTGATGATTCAGATCACTTACTAATTACATTAATGATTCTTTTCTAATAGTCCAGAGATTTGGTTCATAAGAATCATTCATTAATGAATCAAGTTGAGTTATTTGTTGGGAGTCAATTGAATATGATTCAGTTGATGATTTGGAATAAATACTACATCCATTAATGATTCTTTTCTTATAGTATCTTTCTCATCAGTCCACTATAGAGATTTGGTTTATAAGAGTCACTCATTTATGAATCAGATTGTGTTGTTGGTGTGTTATTGAGAACAACTTAATACAAATTTTTAATTTATGATCACAAATCAACCACAATCTGACTCATTTGTGATTCAGTTGATGATTCTGATAACATTCTAATTCCTTTAATGATTCTTTTCTTATAGTATATTTCTAATCAGTGCACTACAGAGATTCGGTTCATAAGAGTCATTCATTTCTAATCAGATTGTGTTGTTGGTGTGTTTTATTAAGAACATCTGAATATAAATGTTAAAAAAATATCTTGTCTTCTGTGTTTTCTCAGTCCAGCTGTGCTCATGGCAGCTTACGGACAGACGCAGTACAGCCCGGCGTTACAGCCAGCGGGTCCTTACACACCATACACACATCACACACAGGGATACAGCATGACGTCCTACAGTGAGTGTCCTTAATAGTAGCATCAATAATGCACTGCTGATCTGATTGGGCTGCTGACGGAGTTTCTTTCTCTCTCAGATATTAAAACAGAAGATGGTTTGAGCCATTCACCTGGTCAGAGCAGTTTACTGGGATACACACCAAACTTCAGCGGGACGCCCCCCGGACAGACGCTCTACAGCTACTCACACGGTCAGTAAACGTGTTTATTTGGAAGTGCCACTTCTTACTGTTCAGCTAATGGTTTATCTACATGGTAGTTTAGAATAAACCAAGCAGTGTGAAATCGCAAAGGAGAATTGTGAATATGTATACAGTCAAAGACTATAGAATACACAAGACATGTCACTCGTATAGTTTTGAATGGGGAAAAGTGCAACAGTCAGTATGGTGAATGAAGCCCCGCCTACTAGTACAGGAGCCAATGATCAATCGGTATAGACTGATGATTCTCCGAGGAAAAGCTTGGAGCAGACATGTGCTTTTATGGCAGTTTGGTGGTCAACAAACGCACTGGAATCTCAGCGAATCCTTGCTTCACAGACATAAGAAATATATCCACATACAGCTTGAAATAAGTGCTTTGGTTTTGCAGTCTGTATGAAACGAACACGAGGTACAGTTCATCCTGTCAAACACACAACTACAGCAACTACTTAAACACCCACAAACATTTAAACAAAGAGTGGCTGTCGTTTCTGGAGGAGATTCACCATCAAGACCAAGTTGTGAATTACCTTAGAAAATCAGCACGATCTGACGAAGCATTATCCAGAGCATGATCATGTGCAGACATGTCATAAATGAGGTTGGTGTCGTGATCTCGTTCCTTTCGAGTGCATTTGCGCATTAGCTTGGACAACCTGAAAAGATTTTGTCTGATTTGGATGTTGAGAAATGAAACTTATGAGACAGGTGTTGTTTAAATGTATTGGTGAGTCCAAATATGTAATCGTAAGCTTCGCAAACGGTTTTGGAGAATTTGATGTTTCCCCATTCTGACAGAATGCCGGAGCATATTGCCCGAGAGGCGTTTCAAAGATGGCACCGAGTAAAATGACTTGCCTTAAAGGTACATTGATACAGTCAATATACATGCAGAGACACTTTGGAGATGTTAGTAAAAAGATGCATCTTATCAAAAAACATTTAGCCCCACCCCCTTAGTTACGGTTGCTAAGGCCATATATATGTTGCTTCTGCTGCAAATATGAATGTGAAACATTCAACAGCTGAATTATTATTTGATCATTTAAATTCAGTTTATACAACTATTGAGTAAATAGACATGACAATGATTGGTTTCTCTGGATTTTTACAACTAATATAAATTTATGAATGAATGATTTTTTGCTGTTATTTTATTTTTTCAGTTTTTAATGCTGCATTTATTTGATCAGAATTTATAATAAAATTTTTAGGATTTTTTTTTTAAATGTTACAATTAAAAAAACTTCTATGTGAATATATTTAAAATAAATAATATGATAAAAATAGGGTAAAAACTGCAATATTGTGAAACATTACAATTTACAATACCTTTTCTAAGTGAATACATTTTAAAAGGTAATTTAATAAAAAATAAGGTAAAACATCAATGTTGTGAATTATTATTACAATTTTAAATACATTTTCGAAGTGAATATAATTTAAAATGCAATATTATATTTAAAAAATACTGAATTATAAAGTGAATACATTATAAAAAAAATAATAATGATTGATTCCTGTAAAACAAATGCAATCATTTCTCTCATCTATAGAATCACATAATCCTTCAGAAATCATTTCAATATTTAATTTTTTTCTTTAATTATCATCAACATTAAAAGCAATTTTACTGCTCAACATTTTGTAGAGAAGCTAAATAGAAATTCCAAAAGAACTGCATTTACTAGAAGTTATTTCTGAACATTTTAAATTAACATTTTTAAAATTAATTTAACACATTCTTGCTGAGTAAAAGTATTAATTGTTTTCATAAAGTAAAAGTAAAAAAAAAAAACTTTTAAACCAAGTGCATATCATTATATGATAAAGATAATAAACAGAGGAAAAAAAGCCAGATAAAACACAGACCAACAGTCAATTACAGTTTTAAATCCACATGAACCGGAAGCTGCAGGCATTTTATTTTTGAAGCAGTTCCTAGAAAAACTAAATATTAAATGAGTAAACAGTGGGCGTGGCTTGTTTTTTTTCTACTGCAAGCTGATTGGATGTAGTAAAGTAGGCATTTCATTCAGAAAAATTGAGAAGACTTTGGAAAGAGTTAACACAACCTAACAGACTCCTCCTCCTCCTCACCACTTCTATTTGTTGTCAAAGCTGACAGCTGGAGGGGCGTGGTTAAGTTTGTTAGCCACGCCCAATACCTCAGACAGACCTAATCTAAAAGTTTGACTGAAAACAAACAGGAAGTGCATTTTCAGATTTCAATTAAAGATTACAAGGGGAAACTATTCTTATTTTCTTAATGACATGCAATTATAAATAAACACAAAACAAGCAATGAGAGCTAACAAAATCAATATGGTTAGTTTCAACTTCATGTGTACTTAAACTTCTTTAAGCAACGATATTTAACCACAGACCGAAGTTGTGTATTAAACAAAAATCAACCAGAATTTCAACAATAAATCTTAACAAAGGGTTTTGAACTTCAATGTCGGACGAACACAATCCCCACAAACACACACACACAGATTTTCACGTGCCGTCTACAGTTGGTATCCCCAACACACACACAGACACACACGCACACACACCTGTTCCCCATTATTCGCGGTCTGGCGTCTGGCGTCAGGCATCTCTCAGGAGGTCAGAACCTTTTCCCCGCTCGCGCCGGCCACTGGAGGAGTGTGTTTTTTTGTGTGGAGTGTGTGAGTCGTCGGATCACAGTCAGTCCTTTTTCTGCCCGCGGTCCTGATTTCTCCACCGCAGTGTGAAATTGACCGTTCTCAGTCAAGGTCAAAGGTGAAGTGGCACTAAGCACGTTTTCAGCTTTAAAGGAACACAATCATTTACTAGTCAACATCATTTACTCACCCACATGCCGTCTTTAAACCCCGTATGACGTTTTCTTTCTTTTCATGGAATACAAAAGAGAAGCTTTGATGAAAATTAGTGGTGGTTTTTCTGGGAAGTGAAGACATAGTTGTGTATATTGGCTGTGAACACCGTATAAAGGAGAAAATAAATGTGCTTAATTAAATATACTGTATAAAAGTTTTATCTTAAACTTCAAAGTATTAAAAGTATTACATATTTGGGGAGTTTGAGCAAATCATCTACACTGAAAAAAGGTTTACTGCTAAACTGTTCAGCTTAGTTTGTTTGTTTAAATTCAGCCCAAATAAATCCTTTACAACCACTTAATTTTATATATTCATATATTTATAATTTATTAATATATTTTTAGTGTATTAATAATTTATAATTAATAGCTTTTAGTGTATTAATAATTTATAATTAATTGCTTTTAGTGTATTAATAATTTAAAGTTAATAGCTATTATAAATTATTATAATAATAATGTATAATTAATAGCTTATAATTAATTATAATTTATAATTAATAATACACTATTATTATAAATTATTATTATTATTATTATTAATAGTGTATTAATAATTTATAATTAGTATTAATAATTTATATATTAATAAATAAAATAATAATATTATATTATTAATCAATTATACATTAATTAATAATTTATTAATTAATAGGGTTTTTGAAAATGACCTTTGTATGTAGGGTGTAACACAGCTCTAAGTGAAGTGAAATATCTAGCTAAGGCTTAAATCTGAAAGTACACTTCGTTTAAATCTATTGATTCATCTAGAAAAGAGTCGACTCATAGTGGTTTCAATGAACTGCTGCTGTAACGAGTCTTTAGCCGTGTCGGCGTGATGTCGATATAAAACTTAATCCCCATCCATTTGTTGCGCGTCCAGACCTGGGAAAATTGAAACCCCCAGCCGTGCCCACAAACACTGCAGAAAGAAAAGGAGGAAGACAAACACTCTAGCAGGTCTTAGTTAAATCAAGTCGCATAGATGCTGTGCTCTGAAGTGTGAGGGAAAGTTAGCGTTATTTTCCCTACCCAAAGATAAGGCTGTGAAAAGTTCATGTTTGCAAAAATACCTCAGCATTATAGCCCCAGCCTTGTGCTGTGTTCCTGTCATTGTTCTGACGAGTGCTTCAGCAATCTACACGCTTACAATAGGGGATTCATCTGCCATTTGTTAAGAGAAGGATCGACATGAACTTTATCAGTACACAGTTCATGGATCAGTTTTGTCCTCCATTTCACAAGTGTAAGTAAGTGTGATTAAAATGGCAGCCTTCTTGTTTTCTCTACCTTTCAAATTATGTATTTAATTGTGTTTTGTTACTTGTAACCGCTTGTACTGTATCTGGTTTACTCTTTATATTCTCATACCAGGTCTAAAACCTTGTTGAAAATGCGGCGTGTGTTGCTTTGTTTACGGATATCTATGCATTTGTGAGCTTGCGCTGTTTGCTCGTGCTGTCCTGTGCTGTTTGTCTTTGCTATGGCCACCGTCAGCTGTTCCTCACATGTGCGGCAGTCAAGTTTCAAAATAGTTCAGCTTTTGCCGCTGTGTGGATTAATCCTGAATGTGTCACTGTTTTTGCTTATGGTTAAGAATAGATCAATATGCTGATGTTTAACTGCATTGCTTTAATGCATTCCTGCATTGGGCTCGCACATATACTCTGTATGCACTCTGAATACTTCAACTATGTTGATAAGCCATGGTGGGCATTTCTCTCTGTCTCTGTCTCTTTCAGCAGTATATACTCACATCCAATATCTCGCTTGTCACGGTGGGCATGCATGAAATGTTCCTGAATGAAAGTGAAAGTGCCAAACTGCAGTTAAAGTTGACAAATTACAAAAGAAACGTCAGAAAGGACATGGAACTCATGAGGAAATGTGGATAGCGTGGTGACGCAATGACGTTAGTCAAATTATGTGCAAAATTACCATGTAAAAAAGGATCATGAAAATAACATTTAAAAAGAAACTCATGTAAACACCTTCATCATTCATTCATTCATTTTCTTGTCGGCTTAGTCCCTTTATTAATCCAGGGTCGCCACAGTGGAATGAACCGCCAACTTATCGAGCAAGTTTTTACGCAGCGGATGCCCTTCCAGCCACAACTTATCTCTGGGAAACATCCACACACACACTCATACACTACAGACAATTTAGCCTACCCAGTTCACCTGTACCGCATGTCTTTGGACTGTGGGGGAAACCGGAGCACCTAGCGGAAACTCATGTGATGGCAGGGAGAACATGCAAACTCCACAAAGAAATGCCAACTGAGCCGAGGTTCAAACCAGCGACCTTCTTGCTGTGAGGCAACAGCACTAACTACTGCGCCACTGCCTCACCCCACCTTCATCATATTATTGTCTTATTCAGATTAAGGCAAATAATTCGATTACTGATGTCCATGTAAATGTAGACAATGAGTGATTATCTTAAGCAGTTGATACAATCTATTTCATATTACGGTGATTTACTGTAATTCATAAGCGTCCCGAGACATCATTTACAGTTAAATTGTCTGCTCGTGAAATGGATGGATTTCTAATGGGTCTGGGAAAAGTCTCTCTCCGCGTCTCGTGCTACATCTCGTTTGATTTATAGGCGAATTCCAACAGGAGACCCGCTGTAGCTCGAAATAAATAACTCGTCTCTGGGTGCCAAAGGTCCTCGCGTTTCATCGCCATGGAGAAAATCAGAAACACAGCGACCGCGTCTCTCTTTTGAAGACTCTAGCTTTGCTTCCTGCGAGATTTGGTGCTGCTTTGACAGACTCATTCATCTGAGGCTTCAGAACGAGCGCAAGCGGCAATGTGAAGAGAAAAAGACAGACGCAGGAGAGAACCAGACATGTCTGAGAGTCTGATAACAGAGACGGATTTGCTGTGGGGCTCCAAAATGCCCTTTCTCACCTGAACTGTTTTCACACTCATAAATCAAGCACACTTTCTCTGAGCGAGCGCTTTAAACGTGTCTATATTTCTCCAGTCGTTGCCTGTCGTGTAAATTGCTTCTCAAGTAAATGTACATTGATTTAAGAATGTTTAGATATTTGTCATGGAAAAAAAGACTTGAAAAATAAGTAAAAAGTTTTTGGTCTGACAACCACCAGTGAACCAAGGCACTGCTGCAACTACATGTGGATCTTCTTTAAGTCATTTCAATTTAAAGTGTCAAGTACATTACAGTCTGTAGTTTCATCATTACACAATATAACTACAGAAGACTTAACTTTAAAGACTTTAGCTTTGCTAGCTGCGAGATTTGGTGCTGTTTTGAAAGATTCATTCATCTGGGGCCTCAGAACGGGCGTAAGCGGCAATGTGAAGAGAAAAAAACAGACATAAGAGAGAACCAGACATGTCTGAGAGTCTGATAACAGAAAGACTTGAAAAATAAGTTAGAACTTTTTGGTCAGACAACCATCAGTGAACTAAAGCACTGCTGCAACAACACGTGGGTGCTCTTTAAGTCATTTCAATTTAAAGTAGTAGGGACATTACAGTCTGTAGTTTTATTACACGATGTAACTACAGAAGACTTAGGGTGCTTTCACATCTGTCGTTCGCTTCATTTGGTCCGGACCAAGGGTAATAAATGATACATTGTTGCATCTTCTGCCGTCTTTGGGTCGTTTTCAAACCACACTGCTGGCTTTGGTCCGAACCAGTTGAAACGAACCAAAATGCAGTCATCTGACAAAATCCACATCTCTCATTGGCCAGATGTTGTTGAACATATTTCCTAAACTGCTTATTGATTGGTCAGAATTCACGTGCGGGAAAATGCCAATGAACTACCGCAGGTAAACAAAACCTTTGACTCTGGAGGGACGACTGCGCTGGCTGATTGTATCCCTGCTTTAGACAAACTATACATTACGAAAATAAAGCGCGGCCGCCGCTGGAAAACAGTGTTTAATGCATCGCTCGTCACTTCAGGAGGAGACGTGAATTAATTAAGCTAAACTGCAACATTGTCATCTTGCGGAAATATTACCAACGCCAACGATCCAGCGCTGTCAACAAATATTTTCCTCCATATCCCATAATGCACAGCGCATCGGCCTACGGCAGCTGAATTAGTCCAAAACGAGCAGTGCTTTTTGCGGTTGGACCTGTTTTAGTACGAATCATATTCTCACCTCAAACGAACCGCTCCAGGGTTCGTTTGAAAGCGCACCGAGACCACCTCTTCAAGCAGGTCTCGATACGCTTATTTGGTCCGCTTTTGGTGTGCACTCGAGTACGATTGCTGCATTCTCACCTGCCCAAATGAACCGTACCAAAAGGGGAAACGAACTCTAGTGCGATTCAATCGAACTAAATAAGGCAGGTGTGAAAGCACCCTTAACTTTGAAGACTTTAGCTTTGCTTTCTTTTAGATTTGGTGCTGTTTTTGACTCATTCATCTGAGGCAGAAAAAAACAGATGAAAAAGAGAACCAGACAGGTCTGAGATTCTGATAACAGAGACGGATTTGCTGTGGGCTCCAAAATGCCCTTTCTCACCTGAACTGTTTCATACTCTTAAATCAAGCACACTTTCTCCAAGCGAGCGATTTAAACGTGCCTATATTTCTCCAGTCGCTGCCTGTCGTGTTTCTGGCGTTGTGTTTGTGTTGGATTGAGAGTGTTCGGAGTGTCTTTAACCACAGTCAGCTCTGAGTTTGCTCTTAAACTATCTTCTGTGCTTCTTTTCCAGGCGGCAGCATTTCTTCTGGAATTTTCCAGGGTGCGAACAGCATCACGGGCTCAACGCCGTTCAGTCCAGCGCAGCAGGTGGGTCACATTAAGGGAAGGAAAGTGCATCTCCAAACACCTTTACTAGTGTCCTACAACCACTTCTGACAAAATTATTTGCCGCTCTTCTTTCTTTTTCAAATTTTTTCCAAATGATGTTTGACAGAGCAAGGAATTTTTCGCAGTATTTTATATATATTTTTTCTTCTGGAGAAAGTCCTATTTGTTTTATTTTGGCTGGAATAAAAGCATTTTTTTATTTATTATTTGCCCCTAAAGCAACAGTTTTCTTCAACTGTCTACAGAACAAACCACACTGTTATACAATGACTAGCCTAATTACTCCACCTTTTCTGAATAACCCAGTTAAAACTTTAGGGGCCCTATGATACACCCGGCGCAATGTGGCGCAAGGCCATCGCAATTGTTGTTTGCTAGTTTCAGCTTGGCGCAAGAGTAGTTTTAATGTTTTGCACCATGCTGTTTAAATAGCAAATGCATTTGCGCTCATATGTGCGCCCATAGTTGTTCTGGTCTAAAAAGGAAGGTGTGTTGAGGCGCATTGCTGGGGCGTTGCTATTTTGAGAAACTATAATAGATTTAGACCAAAACAAAGCCGGTCTAAAGTCCAGCGCAGAGTTGTGCCTCGCTTACACACAAGATGTAGAGCAATACACAAATATCTTTACATATGACAAAGAATTAAAATATTAAGGATATATATAGGACATTATAAGGATATATATATATATATATATATATATATATATATATATATATATATATATATATATATATATATATATATATATATATATAAATAAAGGATTAAAACATTACAAAACATATTATTTTCTAGCCTACATAAATATAAAAACCATACACTTTGCTTTCTTCATCTCAGGAGGCTTTTTCAGTTAATTCATAACAATTTGCTTTTGTATAATGTTATTATTATTAGCAGTATTATTTATTATATCCATATTTATGTTTGTTTTATTAAATTAGATTTGTCCACCTGTCAGGTTTTAGACCATATGGGGCACAGCATGTGTATTAGGATATAACTCAGGTTTTTGAGCACACTTCGTTATTATTGTTCATTTATTCGTTTGCTGGAAATTAGAACTGAATTTAAAAATAGTTTTAAAGCAAATCTTTGCGCTTAACAAACAAAATTAATTATTTATAGACTAATTGATGTCTGTGCGTACAAGGTTTCCCTATCCACGAGAGCGAAAGTGAAAGTCATTTATCTCTCATTCTCGCGCTGCAGATGCTCTGTTTAACTGTTTTCTTGCTAGTGAAATGTTCAGTTTTTCCACTTCCACTTACTTTACGTCATGTAAATAGCAAATGCGCTTATGGCACGATGAAAGGCTCTTAAAGGGAATGGGAGATGAGACTCTGATTGGTTTATTCTCAAAACACACCTATAACTCATTAAGAAAATAAGCTGAACACTTTTAGATCATGTGCCACTGCCCAAAGTGGATTTTTCCATCCTTAAATTAGCAAAAGTGGATTCTGACAAGCCCTGAAAGCGTTTGCGCCCTGCGTTTTGCGCATGGATCGTCAAAATAGAGCCCTTAATGTCACTTTAAGCTGAATACTAGTATCCTGAAAAATATCTAGTCAAATATTATTTACTGTCATCATGGCAAAGATAAAACAAATCAGTTGTTAGAAATGAGTCATTAAAAGTATCATGTTCTCTAATATGTTAGACTTTGTTTTTCTGAGTTTTTATTGAATTCAGACTTTTTCCTCAGAATAAAACCATATTTATTACAAATTGTGCTTAAATATCTATATATCTAGGGCTGGTCAATGATTGCTCATGATTCATCGCATTCAAAATAAAGGTTTATTTTGACATGATACGCGTGTATGATCAGAGTAAGCGCTCCAGCTTGGTCTCACTCAGATTCACTATATAGTGTTGTAACGACGGGGAGTGACACCAACAACAGAAGTTTGGATCCACGTACAGGTTTATTAGAATTGTCAGGCAAGCAGTGGTCAATACCGGCAAACAGATGTATGAGGGCAATCCAGAGTCGAAGTCAAAACAACAGGCAGTTAGTCAGAGGCAGGCAGCAAACAGCATTAAATAAATTAACAAGGCAAAGGATCAAAAACACGGCAAAGGCAGACAAAGGAAACGTGTTGTAATGTCACTGTGACAGATAACAAGACTCGGCAAACTGAAGGAGTGAACGTGTGGCTTAAATAGTGTGTGTTAATCAGTCTCTGAAAGTCCTCAGGTGTGAATGTAAATCAAGCTAAATGAGAAAGCAGGTGTGTGGGCGAAGACCATGTATGAAGTTGTAGTCCAGGAAAAGTGTAGTTCTAAGTGTGTGTATGTTTACCAGCGACATCTGGTGGTTGTTCGCTGGTGAACATGACAAGTGTATACTATAACAGTCTGAGATGATTGATGATGTCATTGTCTCCATCAGGACTTCTCAACATATTCAAGCTACAGCCAAAGTCAATATTCTCCATACTACAACACACACTACAACAGCCCGTACATCACAGCCAGCAATATCACGCCATCGGCCATCACCACGGCGATACCCTATCAGCACACAGATCACCCCGCTGTATCGACCAATCACAGCCCAGAATCACACACAGGTGAGAAAACAACCAAAACTACATATTTTTTATTGTAATAAATAATATAAATAAATATTATATTATAATATATGACTTAAATATATTGGAAATAGAATAAAGATATTGTGTTTAAAAAATATTAATAACTTAGCCAACTTTCACGTAACCAAATAGTGACTCGTATTTGACATAATTATTTGTGATTCAATTTAGTAAGAGGTTTAAAATGTGTTGGTTTGGTATTCAGAAATGTGTTGTGTGTGTATGTGTGTTAAATATCTGTATTTGTGCGTGCATGCGTGTTTGTGAATGTGTCTGCTCTGTGTGTATGTGTGTGCTCATGCATGTTTGTGCGCACTGTGTTGTGTGTGTGTTTGCATGCATGTTTGTACATGTTGTTGTGTTTGTGCTGTGTGTTGTGTGTGTGTGTTTATGTGCGTGCATGCATGTTTAAATGTGTGTATGTTGTGTTTGTGCGTTTTTGTGTATGTGTTTGCGCATGAATGCATGTTTGTACATGTTGTGTGTGTTTGTGTATGTGTGTGTGTGTGCATGCATGTATGTGTATTTTGTGTGTGAGTGTGTGTGCATTTTTGCGCATGCGTGTGCATGCATGTTTGCACGTTTGTGCGTGCTGTGTGTTGTGTTTGCATGCATGTTTGTGCATGTTGTGTGTGTGTACACCGTGTTGTGCATGTGTGTGCATGCATGTTTGCACGTTTGTGTGTGCTGTGTGTTGTGTTTGCATGCATGTTTGTGCATGTTGTGTGTGTGCGCTGTGTGCTGCATATGTGTGTGTGCATGCATGTTTGTGCATGTTGTGTGTGCGTGCTGTGTGTGTATGTATGTCATAGTTGTATATGTGTGTGTGTATTATTGTGTATGTATGTGTGCATGAATGTTTGTTTGTTGTGTGAACATATGTATGTGTGCGCATGCATGTTTGTACATGTTGTGTGGGTGTACTTGCTGCGCTGTGTGTTTGTGTATGTGTGTCTATATGCATGTTTGTTTGTATATGTGTGTATGTTGTGTGTGTGCGCGCGCGTGCATGCAATTTTGTGTAAGTGTGTGCATGAATCTATGTGTGTGCGCATACATGTTTGTACTTGTTGTGTGTATGGGTATGCATGTGTATTTATGTGTGTGTGTGTGCATTTTTGTGTATGTGTATGCACATAAATGTGTGTGTGCGCATGCATGTTTGTACTTGTGTGCGTGTGCGATTGCATTTGTGTGTTTGTGTATGCACATGAATGTTTGTTTGTTGTGTGTGTGTGTGTGTGTGCATATATATGTGTGTGCACACGCATGTTTGTACATGTTGTGTGTGTGTCCTGTGTGTTTGTGTATGTATGTGCATACATTTTTGTATAAATGTGTACGTTGTGTGTGTGCGCGTGCATGCATTCAGGTATGTTCTGTGTGTGCATGCATTTTTGTGCATGTGTGCACATGAATGTTTGTGTGTTGTGTGTGTGCATGTTGTGTGTACGTGTTGTGTGTGTGTGTGTGTGTGTGTGTGTGTGTTTGCATGAATGTTTGCATAAGTGTATGCTATGTGTGCGCGCATGCGTTTGTGTATATTCTGTGTGTGTGTGCATGCATTTTTGTGTGTTGTGTTTGAGAGTATGCATTGCGTATGTGTGCACATGATTGTTTATGTGTTGTGTGTGCATATGTATGTGTGTGCGCTTGCATGTTTGTGTGCATTCATGTTTGCGTGTATGTGTGTGTGCATTCATGTTTGTGTGTGTGTATCAGCAGAGTACCAGGCTCCCACGAGTCCTCCAACTCCAGGAAAGGATCAGGACGGAGCTCCACCGAGACGCAGTGCGGATGGGAAGCTGAGAGGCCGGAAGCGGGCCAGTGACCCCGTCCCTCCGCTGGACTCGGACATTGAGGTACAGATGCTGCTGCTCACGGTGTCCTTTACACAACGCCTTCATTAACATTCCTGTTCACACACACACACACACACACACAGATCACTTTCACAAGCAGCAGCTCAGTCTGGCAGCTCATTTCAATCTAGAGACACAGGCCATTTAAAGGGACAGTTCACACAAAAAAAGTTCATTCACAATTGCATCACTCCACACCTGTATGCCTTTGTTTTTCAAAATGCATGTTTAACAAAATATCTGAATTTTTAATTTTTATAAATAAAAATTCAATTTAGGTTAATTTGTGTAGCACTTTTTATGTATAACTAATTAAGGAATAATTAATTATTTTAAAATACACATTACTGCATCACAATCAATTTAAGTCAAAGTTACATTAAAAATTGTGTTTATACAGTGCTCAGTATATTTGAGTACAGCCCATTTTGAAAATGAATATTTTTATTTATTTCTCAGTGAATATAGGCAATATATTGTGGTGCATTTGAACCATACAGATTTATTAAACAGATATATTTATTCAAATTATATTTTTTTGAAATTTAAAGATAATGCAATTAAACTCAAGCAAAATATTGCAAAAAAAAATTACAACCTATGAAATTTCAACAAATTTTTTCCTCTTATTCAAATTTGTATTTAATATTTTTCTATAACAGATAAATTTGGCCGTACTAGTTTTTGGACCGTTATCATAAGTTATTTTGTTAGATAGGCTCCAGATTTGTCTTCAGTACTAACTAATCAAATGTAAAGTGCAAGTCAGAATTATTAACCCCCTTTGAATTTTTATTTTTTCTTTTTTAAATATTTCCCAAATTATGTTTAACAGAGCAAGGAAATTTTCACGGTATGTCTGATAATATTTTTTCTTCTGGAAAAAGTCTTATTTGTTTTATTGCGGCTAGAATAAAAGCAATTTTTAATTTTTTGAATACCATTTCAGGGTCAAAATTATTAGCCCCTTTAAGCTATATTTTTTTTCTATAGTCTACAAACCATAATTATATAATAACTTGCCTAATTATCCTAACTTACCTAGTTAAGCCTTTAAATGTCACTTTAAGCTGTATAAAAGTGTCTTGAAAAATATCTAGTCAAATATTATTTACTGTCATCATGGCAAATCAGTTATTAGAACTAAGTTATTAAAACTATTATGATTAGAAATGTGTTGAAACAATCTCCTCTCTGTTAAACAGAAATTGGAGAAAAAAATAAACAGCTTGGGGGGCTAATAATTCTGACTTCAACTGTATTTGTACTAATATAATATGGTATAGCTTACTATTAATAATATGAATTTAAAAGATAGATTCGTGAAGAGTGTACTGACATATGCTGAGCACTGCATAAAGACATAGTTAACCTGCAATGTTATTGCATATATGGTGTCTATGTGTACATGCCTAATGAAGTGTATCACAAAGAAAGAGTTGATTAACATAGTAAAAGTTTCAAAGATACTTCTAATAAATCATAATAAAATAAAATCACAGAACAGAAAGCTGAAATAAAATGACTTATTTCTGTATTCTGTCCTTAAAGAAAGGGATTAATGGGCTATATGCACACAGACCTTTACTTTTCAGCCAGGCCACCCAATGGCTTCCAGTGAACTGTCAAAATTGTCATGTTTAAGATCTGATTTCTTTAAAAATCAGTGATCTTCATGGCCTGTTAGATATACGATATGAAGTGGGTCTCAGATCGGACAAGAAGCTCTGCGTTAAATTCCATTTCCCCCCGCCATGTCTTTAAAATATGACAGGTTAATATACTCCAGTATTTCAAATGGAGTTTCTACACTAGCCTGTTGCTACTGACGTTACTAGTGGTTACAACAGTCTTTCATCTCGTTTTACACTTGAACAACTAAATGAATGCTTAATTTATTTAACCGAATGTATTGTAATTACATTACAACATCGATGCTGTAAAAACAACATTGTGAAATTGAAAATAGTCACATTAAGCTTTCACCGGAAGTTTATTATTGGCTTTAAAACTCTTGCTGTGCATAGAGCCCATTGATTTACTTACCAGTATTTTATAATGCAATATGCTGCTCAAATGTCAATCTATGTGTAACTAAATCTAAAAACTATTTTTGTTACTAAAATGAACTAAAATAAACTGAAATAAAATAATACAAAATAAAATAAAAACTAATTTAATTGAATTTGGTAAGATCTAGCCAAACAAAAATCATTAAAAAAAATCTTTTAGTTTATTAATATGTAGTCAAATTCTAATAAAATTACTATTACTCTATAAACCAAAACTAATAACAAACAAAACAAATGCACAGAAATGGCTTGAAAAAAGTTGAACTGAAATTCTGAAAATAAAACAGGAAATATAAACGGAAAAACTAACTATTATTTACAAATGCAGTAGTTGATTTGAACTCTACAATACCTCTGGTGTAGTGATGAAGTGTTTGTCTATCAGAGTGTGTGGTGTAAAATGTGGCAGAACTGACTACAATTATCTGCAATTATTATAAAAGGCAAAACACAGATGATGCACTGTTTTGGAGTAAATACTTCTTTTGACTAGTAAGCAGATTATATTTGTGCTCATGCTCATTGTGTGTATGTGTGTGTGTGTGTGTGTGTGTGTGTGTGTGTGTGTGTGTGTGTGTAGAGGGTGTTTGTTTGGGATCTGGATGAGACCATCATCATTTTCCACTCACTGCTCACCGGGACATTTTCCACACGCTTCGGCAAGGTACAAACCAGTTCTTCAACTCACACCTCTCACTTTCACACTGCTTTACTTCTGCAAGACATTGCTTTGTTTTCATTTTAGATTTATTTATATATATAGATCATGTGTCGTTTAAATGTAATGATAGATAAATTAATTAATTAGTTATTTAACACAGTTGAAGTCAAAATTATTCTCTCTGTGATTTTTGTATTTCTTTTTCAAATATTTCCCAAATGATGTTTAACAGAGCAAGGAATTTTTCACAGTATTTCCTATAATATTTTTTCTTGGTTTTATTTCGGCTAAAATAAAAGCAGTTTTTCAATATTATTAAGCAATATTTTTTTTTATATTCTACAGAGCAAACCATCGTTATACAATCACTTGCCTAATTATCCTAACTAACCTAATTAACCTAGTTAAGCCTTTAAATGTCACTTTAAGCTGAATACTAGAGTCTTGAAAAATATCTAGTCAAATATTAATTACTGTCATCATTGCAAAGATAAATTAAATCAGTTATTAGAATTTAGTTATTAAAACTATTATGTTTAGAAATGTGTTGAAACAGTCTCCTCTCTGTTGAACAGAAATTGGGGGAAAATATACAGAAGGGCTAATCATACTGACTTTAACTGTAAATATAATGTATTTACATATATAATAACTAAAATAAACCTTTTATTTAAATTAAAATAAGACCACTTTAAGAAGCTTTTTTCAGATTTTCTAGATAGATTAGGTTTAGGTTTGAAAATATTATTATTAATCTATAAATGTTAATTTATTTTAAATAAAAAATGTTATTTAGATTTCTTTTAAGAATATGTAGTCATAATAACAATTTTTTTTTTTTTCTGAGACTGAATGCCAGATTTATTAGCTTAATGCATTATTGTCTTATCTAAAAAAGAATACAGTTGAAATCAAAATTATTAAAGCCCCTAAATTATTAGCCCCCTGTTTATTTTTTTCCCCAATTTCTGTTAATGGAGAGCACATTTTTTTCAGCATGTTTCTAAGCATAATAGTTTTAATAACTCATTTCTAATTACTGATTTATTTTATCTTTGTCATGATGACAGTAAAGAATATTCGACTACATATTTTTCAAGACATTTAAAGGCTTAACTAGTTTAATTAGGTTAACTAGGCAGGTTAGGGTAATCAGGCAAGTTATTGTATAATGATGCTTTGTTCTGTAGTCCAGCTTTGATCTGATCTATTTGAACCTTCTATTTAAGCTCTTCAAAATAGCAACGCGCCAGCAATGCGCCTCAATACGCCTTCTTGTTTTAGATCAGTACGCCTATGGGCGCACATATGAGCGCAAATGCATTTGCTATTTAAACAGCATGGTGCAAAACATTAAAACGACTCTTGCGCCAAGCTGAAACTAGCAAACAACAATTGCGTCGCGCCTTGCGCCGGGTGTATGAAAGGGCCCAATATGTTTAGCTCATCTAGCAATGCTTGATTTAAGAATTTTCAGATATTTGTTCTAGAAACAAGACAAAAACTCTTTTCACAGTGCAGAAATTCACTTAAAATTAGTACTTGCCTAAGTGCAATCTATGAAAATCCCTAAATTAAAGCCTCTGCTGATCTATTGTACATCAAACTCAATAAACACTTTAGATAAACACAGACAGTAAATGCGGAAGATGTAAATGAGCAGTGAAGGATATAATCAACCTCCTCCTATTTGTCTGCTCTGATTTGACGGACGCTGAGTGAACTTCTCTGCAAACTCCGATGAGGAAACAATGCTCATGTTTCTTTTTCTTGGCCCGCCGTCTGTTTTCAAATCCCACGATCCCTTGCGAGTTTGACGTGACACACAAGAGAAACGCCGGGCCGTCTCAAATACTTCAGACTTTCTTTTTGAGGATGGCAGAAATGTTGCCGTGACTAATGTGTCTAATTTCAGATCCAGGAAAAAAAGCCTGCAGAAAAAAGCGCTTTGCTCTGTCAGGAATCCACTGGAGAGAGCAAAAATCAAAAGAAAAATCCCTATTAAAGTGAAAGCGGCTGAGTTTGATGTGCATCTTGACAAAGCCGCTTATTCTCAGACAAAAAGCCGTGATTGTGCACGCTCAGATTTCACATCTTTAAGTAACAGGATATTTAACTCTGGGTTTTTTCGTATGTACTTTATGTCAAAGCCACGAGAAGATCAGTGTAAACAGGCAAACTCAGACTAACTGAAGGCGAGACCCGACCTATACACTGCAGTGCTGAAAGACGCTGCTTTCTAATGTGTTTGTAAGCTGAGCTGGAGGTCAGAGGTCACCGTGAGTCTCCTTCATAATAGACATAGTCATTTATCCTGTGACAGCGCCATATACGCACATAACTAAATGTCTGAATGTTCACCCAAAGCTGTTTATTCAGATTCAGATTAAGGGATAATGCCCAACCATTATTACATTTAAATGTGCATAGGTTATTTATCAAGTTAAATAATTAAAGTTTTATAATATAAAATTAATTAAAATAATTATTAAAGATATAAAGTAAATGTAAAAACATAATATATAATTTATTATATATTTATATATTTATTATTATAAATTTATTATATATTTATATATTTATTTTCAATAGTTTCTGATTTCTGAAAAGCATAAGTATCAAAATAACAGCATTTATTACATGATAAAGTATTTAATAAATAAGTAATAATAATAATAATAATAATAATAATAATGTAGCACAATGGGTCAGTACTTAGCACTGTCCCCTTACAGCAAAAAAGTCGCTGGTTCGAGCCTCAGCTGGGTCAGTTGGCATTTCTGTGTGGAGTTTGCATGTTCTCATCCTCGTGTTGGCATGGGTTTCCTCTGGGTGCTCAGGTTTCCCCCACAGTCCAAACACATGCACTATAGGAGAATTGAATGAGTGTGTATGAATGATTCCCTGTACTAGGTTGCAGCTGGAAGGGCAATTGCTGTGTAAAACATATGCTGGATAAGTTGGCGGTTCATTCCACTGTGGTGACCCTTGATGAATAAAGGGATTAAGCAGAAGGAAAATGAAATAAAGTAAATATAAAAAGCATAATATATATTTTATTACATACACTTTTCAATATTTTCTGATTTCTGATAAGCAGAAATATCAAAATAACAGAATGTATTTTGAATTAGTGATTTGATTTGAGACCCTGAAGAATATTAATTGTATAAAATATTACATAATAAAACATTTAATAAATAAAAAATAATCATTTTAAATTTAACACCCAAGCCTCAGAAACATTTGTATAAAATAAAAATGATAATGTATATTAATAGTGAATAAACCCTATAATTAAAATTAATAAACCCTATAATTATGAATAAAATAAATATTATATATAGGTACATTCATTCCTTCATTTTCTTTTCAGCTTAGTCCCTGGGGTCACCACAGCAGAATGAACCGCCAACTTATCCAGCATATGTTTTACCCAGCGGATGCCCTTCCAGCTGCAACCCATCCCTGGGAAACACCCATACACACTCATTCACACACAAAAACTGCAGACAATTTACCTTACTCAATTCACCTATAGTGCATGTGTTTGGACTTGTGGGGGAAACCGGAGCACCCGGAGGAAACCCATGCCAACACAGGGAGAACTCCACACAGTAACGGCATCTGCCAGGGCTCGAACCAGCAACCTTCTTTCTGTGAGGGGATTGTGCTGCACCACCGTGCTGCCGTATATGTGTACATTTGGAGGTCAAATTATTACAAATAGAATTAAAATTATTTCACAGGCTTACAATTTTTCCTTTAACTCTATTTAAAATAATGTAAAATGTGAATATTAATATATTATCATATGACAGGGGTGTCCAAACTCAGTCCTAGAGGGCCAGAGAGCTTAGCTCCAACCCTAATCAATCACACCTGAACAAGCTAATCAAGCTTTTAATTGATATACTAGAAACTTCCTGGCAGGTGTGTTGAAGCTAGTTGGAACTAAACTCAGCAGGACATCGGCCCTCCAAGACTGAGTTTGGACACCCCTGTGATACAGCACTTTAGAAATTATATGATATACGCTTGTCTATTTCTTAACTTCACTTAACGGTTTACCCAAAATTGATAATTCTGCCATCATTTACTCACCCTTTACATCTTTCAAACCTTTATGAGTTTCTCTTTTCTGTTGTACACAGAATAATACATTTTCAAGAAAGCTGTAAACCTGTAACCATTGACTTCCATAGTATTTGTTTTTCCTACTATAGGCAATGGTTACAGGCATTCAGCTTTCATTAAAATATCTTATTGTGTTTTCAACAGAATAAAGAAACACATAAGGTTTGTAACCAATTGAAGGTGAGTATAGTAAGTATATTTTCATTTTTGGGGTGAACTTTCCCTTTAAAATGCGCATTTAGCGCTAAATCTAATGTGTTACATATATTTGACTGCCCGCAGTAATATAGTCTGACAGACTAAGTCATTTACTGAGTAATATACTGACAGATTGGGGGTTATTAGCTTCATTAAAGCTACATCTCCAGTGTCTCAAACAGTGATGATGTGCAAAAGAAGAGCCGTTTTTCTCAGTTAATCTGACTTTGACCTCTAGCTGACGCCTAAACTTGATCCGGTGCCAGACGGAGGCGTTAGCAGTTAGTTAGCTAAAACAGGAGCACACAATGGCTTAGCTTATGTTAGCATGACGGCTAAACAGGAGAGAAAGAATGAGAAATGGCTGTAGTTTGACACGCTTCTGATTAAAACCACAATGACTGTGAGCAATCAACATTCTTGTCAGACAGAAACCTGTTGTACCACACGGAGATGATTTAATCATCACCTGTCAGCTCGAGGAGAGGTCAGAGCAGGTACAGTACCCAAACTCACCTGACAGAGAATTGTGTTTTCCAGGACTCCGGGAAGGCTGTTTCTCTGGGTTTGTGGATGGAGGAGATGATCTTCAACTTGGCTGATTCACGGCTGTTTTTCAATGACCTGGAGGTGAGCATAATAATAATAGTCTCACTAATGATATCTCCCTTTGGTATGAGAGTAGCAGAGTATCTGACAAGAACACCGTTAAGAGGATCATAAAGTCAGCTGAAAGGTCTGCGGGAGCCTAAATGACATCTATCGAGGAACAACGTTGTCTGTCTAGGGCAAATAGCATTCTAAGGCAGGGGTTTCCAAACTTTTCAGCACGCGACCCCTAAAATAACAATGCCAGTGACTCGCGACACTAGTGACAGTGACTAGTGACCCCCAATATCCTCTGAGGTGGTTATAAATACAGAAGACTTGCATGCAATGGCGCACTCACACACCAATAGACCAAAGTCTATTGTTCGTTTAATTTTTTTATGTATGTCAGTGCTGTAAATGGGCCAGAAAGTTTAAGCTGGTGTTATAAAATCAATCTGCTGCATCTGACGCTATTGCTGTCTTTAATATAATGTATTTACCCCAGGGGTCGCAATCCAATAGAACTAGTAAAAAAGCTACTGTAGTAACTATAAATGACTGTTTTATTCTCTTCAGTTGGTTATGGATAAAATATGGTAATTCTTATGGCCTAATAATAATAAGTAGATTTTTGGAAATCACCAGGCGACCCCCCTTCATTGTTCCGTGACCCCTCAAGGGGTCTCGACCCCCACTTTGAGAACCACTGTTCTAAGGGATCCAACTCACCCTGGCCATAGCCTGCTCACACTAATGCCATCAGGGAGACGTTGCAGAAGCAAATCAGCGCGGTTTCATGACAGTTTTTATCCTGTCATTATAAGACTTCTGAATAATACCATTTCTTAAACATTGTTGATAGCTATAGTGTGAAAATAATAAATCAAAAAATAGTTAAAACCAGCATTAATTGGTAATACTATAACTAATGGTGAAATAGGTATTTAAGTATTAAGTTATTCTCTTTAGAGATTTTATAAAATATCCTATATAACTATATTTTTATGGAATTATAAAAGCTTATTTATCATGTTAGGATTTTATAGTGTTTTTATAGAGATGTTTTTTATGTTCTTGTTGGGTCTGCTGCAATGTAATTTCGTTCTGCATTACAATTCTGTTGTGATGTTTTGAATGACAAAAATGAAGGAAACTGGGAACTAATAATAATAATGATAATAATAATAATAATAATAATTCATTCATTCATTTTCTTGTCGGCTTAGTTCCTTTATTAATCCGGGGTCACCACAGCGGAATGAACCGCCAACTTTTCCAGCAAGTTTTAACGCAGCGGATGCCCTTCCAGCCGCAACCCATTCCCGGCGAAACATCCACACACACACACACACATTCACACACACACTACAGATAATTTAGCCTACCCAATTCACCTGTACCACATGTCTTTGGACTGTGGGGGAAACCGGAGCACCCGGAGGAAACCCACGTGAAGGGAGAGAGAACATGCAAACTCCACACAGAAACGCCAACTGAGCCGAGGTTCGAACCAGCGACCCAGCGACCTTCTTGCTGTGAGGCGACAGCACTACCTACTGCACCACTGCCTCGCCTAATAATAATAATAATAATAATAATAATAATAATAAAAAATAAAGTAAAAAATATCAATAAACATGAAGGAGAAAAAAAAAACATATTTAACTGATTACATATGCATACCATGAATATATATATATATATATATATATATATATATATATATATATATATATATATATATATATATATATATATATATATATATATAGTATTTGTATTAGTGTAACCCCTCCGGTCCTACTCCACCCAACCCTCTCCGAGCAGGTATCGAACCGGCGATCTTCCGCATGGGAGTCGGTTGTTCTAACAAGGAGGCTAAAGACCATGGCCTCTAGCATCTGTTGCTAGAGCACCTTTAGTGGTCAAAGGAGTGAGGTTTACCTGCACAGCACTTACTAGCTGGCCTCTGTTACACTCAATCCCATCCGGGTCACGGCACCAATGTAACCCAGGCGGTCCAACGCCACCCAACCCGCTCCAAGCTGGTACCGAACCGGCGACCTTCCACATAGGAGTCGGGTGCTCTACCAAGGAGGCTAAAGATCCATGGCCTCTAGCATCTGTTGCTAGAGCACTTTTAGAGGTCAGAGGAGTGAGGTTTACCTGCACAGCACACACTAACTGGCCTCCGTTACATTAGCACAATCAAAATAATAAAATTAAATGTAAGGAAAAAAGTATTTTAGAAAGCCGTATAATAACCACCTATCAATCACAGAGATTTACCCCCGCCAGCAACTGCCCAAGCCTCACCCTCTTCATTTGTCAAATGTTTGTGCATTTACCAAATTTAGATTAATTTCTGGATTTTCCCTATATATAGATTATTATTTATATTAAGCCATCAATCTAAATCTTATGCCTTTTTATGATTTTGCTATTCATTAAAAATATGCCAAAAATTATCATTCATAAATTATTATTAATTATAATAAATTAAAATGCAAAAATAATTAATAATAATATAACATTCATACTTTTATTCCGATTTCACTTTCTCAATTAACTGAATTTGACCTTTTTCAGTCAATTTGTTTCTTGCTTTTTTCTTTTATTTATTTATTGTTAATGATGCTGTGTGGAAAAGCAGTAAGAATATTTTAAAGTATATGTAAATGTGTTTAACACTGATAATAATTCATCAAATCAGTATATTAGTATAATTTCTGAAGCTACATGTGAGTAATGTGTTTATTAAACTGTCTACACTTTATAGATTAGATGTACAGTTGAAGGCAAATATATTAGTCCTCATGAAATTAATTATTTTACAAAGATTTCAGAGATTTATTTCAACACATTTTAAACCAAGCAAATAAATTAGGGATATAATGGTATTAAAATTTCACGGTACGGTAATACCTCGGTATGAATGGCACGGTACGGTATTTATTGAATAATTCACAGGAAAAACAAAACTAATGAAAAGACTCGAAAAAAGTGCCAAAAGTGTTTATTTACCTTAGCACTGAACATATCAATAGCATACAAATTAGCCATCTATCTGTAAGTTTCGAAACAGGAACTTAAATTTTTCAATTTTAATAACAAAAAACTATTAAACCATATAAAAAAATTAAGTTTCAATTTAGTATTGTTGAAAACTCATCTTATTCAACATTTGGGATGGGTTTTTTAAGGAAAATTATCATATAATTATAATCTGGTAAAAGCTGGGATCTCTGGGCATGTCCCCTGCAACAGAAAAAAAAACCCTCTCATTTGGGACTGAGGTTTCTGGGACAGAGAGATATGATTTAGCCAAGGTTGACAGCAGTGGGTAACGTTGTGCATTGTCTTTCCACCACTTGAGAGGACAAGCCATGAGTGAGATAGAGGTCTCTTTGCGGTACAAGTCAATGTCTGCATCAATCTAACAAGTGTGCTGTGTTCTGCAGTCCCCATGACTGTTTTTAGTCGTATTCCCCCACTTATATTTCACCACAGTCTGGCAGTGCCTGCATACTGTTTTTTTCTTTGTCTGTCACCTTTTCTCCTTTTTCGTATCTTTTCAGAAAGAAACCAAAATGCTTCCACACATTCGATTTAAAACCTGCTTTAGGTTCGATCATTTCCAGCTCTTTTTCTTCCTCGCTACTAGCAACACACTCCATTTCCGCATTACTGGATCTGTAGTGACAACAGACCGCAAAGGATGATGGCAATGCCTAGGCTGATGGGAATTATAGTTCCCGCTACCTCCCGTTCGCTTCATTCGCCTAAGCAAACTTTTCTCAGAAATATAGTTTTATTGAGTCATGCGCCTACCGTAATATTGAAAAAAATTACTATTGCGGTATGATGGTATTTACAATATTGTTACATCCCTAAAATAAATAAAAACTAATTACTAATAACTTTACTAATACTTTATTCTTTAATAATTCAATGTTGTTGTTTTGTTATACCAGCCAAACTAAAAGAAATAAGAGTTGTTGTTTTTCCCAAAGAATAATATAATAGGAAATACTTTGAAAAATATCTTCTATGAAACATCCCCTGGAAAATATAACAGAATTAAAGTGATATGATTTAGTCTTCAGCAGAATGTGGATTGCGAGTGAGTGAAAGGACCTCAGTTTGCCCTCTGCATGAAGAAAGGAGAGATTAGATGCTTTTTGGAGGAGGTGTTTAAATCCCCTCCTGGTTTGAGTGTTTAATGAGGGGTGTGTGGCCGCTCTGAAAGAGGGTTTGTCCCGGGGCGGATCAGCAGCTTTTCACGACGCCCCTTCAATCTTGTTCTGTTCTTCCTGGAATTTGCTTTAAAATAGTGCAAGGCTGAGAGTTCAAGCTGTTCAGATCTGTCAGCTGAGAACAGAAAACAAAAGCGAGATAACAACACAGGGGTCAACAGATGAAAAACACAAACATGACTGAACTCATTTTACACATTAATACAGATCATTCATTCATTTAGCTTAGTCTCTTTATTCATCAGGGGTCGCCACAGTGGAACGAACCACCAACTTATCCAGCATATGTTTTACACAGCGGATGCCCTTTTTTGTGAATGTCTTATTTTTATTTCCTTTACAGGGGTTTCTGTATGAAAATAAATAAATGTATTATTCCATTTGTACTGATATTTTTATTAGTTCCATAGCTTACAAACTGATTCTGCATTAAAAACTTTAGTATTTTTTATCTCAAAATAAATATATATTAGTACTCCTAATAATGTGATTTATCTTTGTTTTAAGTTACTTTAAAAAGCAACTGGAATATTTAAAAAGTATTTAAAAAATAATATTAAAATAAATTCTTAAAAACCTACCATAAAAGCAGTGAATTTGATTTAGTAAATATATTTATAGTATAAATGCAATCAATTATTAACAAATAGTTTGTAGATTTCCTGTCAAAATGTTAAATGTTTTCTAATAATACATTAATTTTTAATTATTGTTAGGTTAATAGTTTTTTTCTCCTTCTTTTACTCCTTAATTAATTCCATTTTTTTACTCATTTAATTACTATAAACTCATTATTAATTTAATTCCCATGAACAATTTGTATCAATATTACTTCTAGCAAATTTGAAATGGGGCGTCACGGTGGCGCAGTAGGTAGCATGATCGCCTCACAGCATGAAGGTTGCTGGTTCAAGCCCTGGCTGAGTCAGTTGGCATTTCTGTGTGGAGTTTGCATGTTCTTCTCGTGTTGGTGTGGGTTTGCTCCGGGTGCTCCGTTTTCTCAGTCAAAACACATGTGGTATAGGTGAATTGGGTAAGCTAAATTGGATGTGTGTGAGTGATTGTGTGTGTGGATGACTCCCAGTTATGGGATGCAGCTGGAAGGGCATCCGTTGCGTAAAACATATGCTGGATAAGTTGGCGGTTCATTCCGCTGTGGCGACCCCAGATTAATAAAGGGACTGAGCCAAAAAAAAAATGAATGAATGAAATTTGACACGAGTAACACCTGAAGTATGAATCCACCCTAGCAATGCACTAAATACGCTGATGTCCTTAGCAACCGCATGACGACACTATTGCAACCACAGAAACACCATCAACATGATGAGTTTTACACTATGAAATGCTGAGTGGTTGTAACCCAACACTGGGTCAAATATGGGCAAACCCAAAAACTCTGGCTTAAAATATGTAATTTAAATTTAATTGAGGGGTGACACAGTGGCTCAGTGGTTAGCACTGTCACCTCACAGCAAGAAGGTCGCTGGTTCAAGTCCAGGCTGGTTCAGCTGGCATCTCTATTTGGAGTTTGCATGTTCTCCCCATGTTGGCATGGGTTTCCTCTGGGTGCTCCTGTTTTTCCCACAGCCCAAACACATGCGCTATAGGTGAAGTGAATGAACTAAATTGGCGTAGTGTATGAGTGTGAATGAGTGTGTATGGGTGTTTCCCTGTACTGGGTTGCAGCTGGAAGGCCTTCCGCTATGTAAAACATATGCTGGAACAGTCGGCGGTTCATTCCACTGTGCCGACCCCTGATGAATAAAGAGACTAACCTGAAAAAAAATTGAATGAATGAATTTATTTGGAAAAAAATTAACCCAATGATTTAGTTTGCCCATACTTGACCCAACTTTGTGTTACAAAACAACCCATTCATTCATTCATTCATTTTGTCATTCATTAATTTTTGTCGGCTTAGTCCCTTTATTAATCCAGGGTCAACACAGCGGAATGAACCGCCAACTTATCCAGCACGTTTTTACGCAGCGGATGCCCTTCCAGCTGCAACCCATCTCTGGGAAATAACCCAGTATTTTAAAAGTGTAAACTGATAAATGTAGTCTGTGTTTCCAATGTAAAAAAAAAAAAAAATCAGACAAAATTAAATCTAGCTCTATTTACAGAAATACAATAACAATAGGAGTCAGTGGGTGGTCCGCAGTGTAACATGAAGCATGCTGAGGCATATCTGTGAAGTTATGAAAACAATAGGCGAGCATGAATGTCTTTCGTCAGACTGATTGTTTTGGATTGATTAGCGTACTTCGGTTTGTGAGACTACAAGAATCCAAATGTTTAATCAGATTTACGTGTGTTTAGGATTTCTGCTAAACCAATATGGAGACGCAGATTAGATAATGAATGAAGCAAAGAGCCAAACATTCTTAAGAAGGCATTTCTGATTATTTTCTAACTTAAATGGATAGTTCAATCAAAGATTTAAAGTGTCATCATT